AGGTTTTGAAAAGGTGTATAGTACGTAATATAGTAGAAATCGGCTCGCTTCGCTCCACGTGGAGTTACTGTTGTTGTTGTTGTAGCGGCTACAACAACCCCGTGGAGTTACTCATAGTGTTTGGTGAAAATCGCATGCAAATTATTTTCAAAAAAGTTGCTAGTTCTCTGAATTTGTACATCATCTACTGGTAAATTAATTTCTTATTTGTTTCTAGTCCAGAGCTATCTATTAGAACACTTTTAAATCCCTACTCACCGAGCTCAATTTGGAGTAGTCGTGATTTGTTTTCCAAATATAGATGCATTGATTTTCCGATCCAGCAATTATGTACTTTCCGTCGTGACTAAAAGATGCTTTGATTTGCGAGGATACATTTAAGTAGCCTTTGTATTTGCAAGATAAATTCAAGTCACGCAAATCATACAAACGCACGCGACTATCATTAGAGGTTACAAGTATCTTATCCTCCCCAGGCATTGGCTCAATGCCACTTATTTTACGCCCAATACGATTTTTACCACGCGTTGAACGCACATGTATCTGCGTGTGGTATTTCAACTGATCTGTGTTGTAGAAAATGCATCGACCATCGTACGAACCAACTACTGCAAATTGTCCGTTTTGACAGAAGTTTGCTGCTGTAATTAGTTTTGTCTGCCCGTCGACTTCATTCCAGAGTGCTACCTTCTTGTCTGGAATATTCCACAAACGCAGTTTACCATCCAAACTGCCACTTAAGAAGTAACGATCGTCGCGTGGATGAAAAGCGATTGCTGTGACAAAGTCAATATGTTGAAAGCAGCAGAGGCACTCCTTACGCGATATATGCCACAAACGTACAGTCTTATCCATAGAACTGGAAAGTATGAAATAATTCTTCGACCATGAGACGTCCAGCAGATCCGACGTATGTCCAATGTAAGTGCAGAACGCTTTCGGCATAAATGGGCCGGTGCATTTTTCAGCGGCGGCCGCCATGGCGATCGCCTCCTCCGAGTGTTGGGACACGAGGGACTCTTGTGAGGGTGTAGGAGATGATTTCTGATCCGCATTGTATTTTGTGCGCATATCCTGAGAAAGAATAAGAACAATTCGAATAACTTATCTCAATAAAATGCTTGTGTACAATGGCGAAGTACGCACCTGAAAGAACGGATACGCATCTTTTAATACCCAAATACGTAGTAGTTTGTCTTGTCCAGCAGTGGCTAGTAGACGGCCACATGAGCTAAATTTCATACACCATACCGCGCCAGTGTGTTCGCCATACAAATCCTAACGAAAAGCAAAAATTATTTCAATTTACATACAAAAATCAACCACAACTTTTATTTTTTACTTTTTTTTTTGTTAGTTAGCTACCTGAACGTGTTGCAATTTGGTAAATTCATATGGTCCCTNCAAAATCAACCACAACTTTTATTTTTTACTTTTTTTTTTAGTTAGCTACCTGAACGTGTTGCAATTTGGTAAATTCATATGGTCCCTTATTGGTTGAAGAGGCTTTAATTTTTATATTCGCTTCGGGATTCATGACATCCGTTATGTCGGCAACATCCTCTTTGTGTCGTGCATGGGACACTTCCGATGCCAGCGATTTCGCCTTGTCGACCGTTTTACGCACTGTGGAGCCAAGAAAACGTTTAAAGCGTGCTGTCTTTTTTTTTAAACGACTTCCATCATCCGCCTCGCATTCTTCCTCATCCGGTGGCTGACCCTCGCTGCTCGGCGGTATGCCGATCACGCTCTCTTCGTCTGATTCTTTTGGGTTCACCTCCAGATGCGAGGTGAGTTTCAGTATGTGCAGCGACAATGGATTCCAACCTTCGGGAACTGGTGGAGAGCGAACCTCAGACAACGTCATATTCTCGCCAGTATCTAAATTTTTGACGGGAACCTGTTTGAGTATTTCGAAATCGGTTAATTGTTTGCCAGAACTAGTGCGCGTACGAACATAGATGTTCATCTGCTTGAGAACATCCTCATCGCCAGCCGATTTGCGTCGTTCCTTGTCACTACTCGAGCGGTAAACCAGCGATGGATATCTATGAAGGTAAGAAACAAGAAATCAGTTTAAAATATAT